TTTCAGGCATCCATCCAACTATTAATTAATTGTTTACTTTCCGAATAAGTTCGTTTTCACAAAAAAATGTCAAGTGACTCTTGATCGTGTGAGACCAAATTTGGAAAATGTGTGTATATGCTCGCGCGTGTGTGTATAAGCGATTTTTGACCTTACTTTCTTCGTTTTTTCAGAAAAGGTTACGCGATGAGGCCTTTTTTGGAATTTTGAGGAAATAGACCAAGAGCCCGTGGGCGGATGACAGTATGTATTTTACGACACCTGAGATTTTGTGCATCGATTCCTCTATAACTATCATACATGAGATGGGGACTGACTAAGCCCAAACTGGCGGACACAGCTACTGCGCAGCTGGTAAAGGTACCTTTTTTTCGACCATATCCGAACCATTTTACGACGGTTGCCGTTTCGAAAATTTGAAAATATAATATTATTACTATCGTAAAATAACAATGGCAGACGATTATCGCGCGGTCAACATGGTGGCAGACGATTTTGAAAATGCAGAAAAAAATTTTTTTGAATGTATTTTATGATGTCTGCCATTTACATATTTTATTCCTTATAGTATCAAAACCTTATATTTATCACGGCAGACGTGTACCTGGCGTACTAACATCAGCAGAGTTAAAAAACTCAGCTACCATCTGGCCTGATAGTATGCATAAATCTTCACGTTTTAAACGGATAAAAGCAATTTTTTCATAATGATAATAGAAATTATTATTTTTTAGTCTATATGTGACATTCAATAATGTTGATGAGCGGAAAAAAACATTTTTTTACGCTAAATTCATAAAGATTAAAGTATACAAACGATAACAACAATTATTGTAATCATTATTCAATTTTTTTATTTATTTTAGTCTAATTTCAAAATGTTGTATAAAAATAAAGTTATACATTATTATATTATATATATATATATATATTCCTAATATAGTTATAGTGGCTCTTAATAATTGTTGATAAAGTACGGGATTGAACTTGCACCAAAATTTAGAATTTTTCTGCTGAATTCTTTATTGACGTTGTAAGCTTTATAGTTAATAATGAATAGTTTGTACCTTCCAACAACCACGTCATTAGGTCTTTTTGCATTATATATTTGGCAAATAATTTAGGTGGTTTTCTATTAAATTTTCTTCTTTGCTAAACCGTGTGTAGCAAACCCTTGTTGAAGACCGATATTTTTTATTTAAATTTTGTTAATTTATTTGAATTTTTGAGACTGCCAATTGTACAAGGTTGCTAATCAAAAATGTCCAATCGCGTGTTGTTGAAGATTTTTGTTGTACTTCCCATGAAGAACCTGACACAAACGCGCGTAACATCGCTGAGTATATCGTTCCAATATTTTAGGACCTTCGATACTGCAAAATATCAGTATAATATTGGTAATATGATTTGGTAATATGAGATAACTAAGAAATATAGTGATTCAAATATTTGGATGCTAAATGGGGTTGAAAATAACCAGAGATATATTAACATTACGAAGTTGTTTGCCAAAAGTTCAATTTGTTGTTACGCTTTTACTGGTTGTGATTTCAATCCAGCCTTCTTTAACAAAGAAAAAAAAGACCTTACAATTCTCTAAAAAAAATCGATCTTCAACAAACGTTTGCTACACTTGGTGAAGAAAATTTAACAAAGAACCCCCATACAAGATCTTTTTAATACTTTTCAGCTTTTATATTATTATTATTTTTAATTTTTTTAAGTATGGTCGAAGAATCTCGTCTTTATCAAACATCTTTAGTTGGATTTTGAAATAATTTTGATTTTACAATTGACTTATTATTTTATAGAATCTGATTCAGCGGATGACGAGGAATCATCAAAAGAGAGATATGGCTCCGAGATGATGACAAATAAAGTACATATATATATATATATATATATATATATATATAAATATATAATAATGTATAACTTTATTTTTATACAACATTTTGAAATTAGACTAAAATAAATAAAAAAATTGAATAATGATTACAATAATTGTTGTTATCGTTTGTATACTATAATCTTTATGAATTTAGCGTAAAAAAATGTTTTTTTCCGCTCATCAACATTATTGTATGTCACATATAGACTAAAAAATAATAATTTCTATTATCATTATGAAAAAATTGCTTTTATCCGTTTAAAACGTGAAGATTTATGCATACTATCAGGCCAGATGGTAGCTGAGTTTTTTAACTCTGCTGATGTTAGTACGCCAGGTACACGTCTGCCGTGATAAATATAAGGTTTTGATACTATAAGGAATAAAATATGTAAATGGCAGACATCATAAAATACATTCAAAAAAATTTTTTTTCTGCATTTTCAAAATCGTCTGCCACCATGTTGACCGCGCGATAATCGTCTGCCATTGTTATTTTACGATAGTAATAATATTATATTTTCAAATTTTCGAAACGGCAATCGTCGTAAAATGGTTCGGATATGGTCGAAAAAAAGGTACCTTTACCAGCTGCGCAGTAGCTGTGTCCGCCAGTTTGGGCTTAGTCAGTCCCCATCTCATGTATGATAGTTATAGAGGAATCGATGCACAAAATCTAGGGTGTCGTAAAATACATACTGTCATCCGCCCACGGGCTCTTGGTCTAAAAGAGATTCTCGTTTTTATAAGGGATTCCTAACCAATTTTGAAATTCAAAAACTATTCGTATAATATCATTTAGGCATTGTGCTAATTAGTTTTTGGCACAGATTTTTATTAACTTCCCGAAGGAGAAGTTTATGTTTTCTTCAAAAAATCCGAATTGCTAATTTTGTTTTCTTGACGTTTCAAGCCATTCTGAATCGAATGAGACCAAATTTGGAAAAAGTATGTGTGTGTGTATGTGTGTGTGTGCGTGTATGTGAACAGAGTTTTTGCCGTAAATCGACGTTTTTTCGAAAACGGCTGGACCGATTCCAAAAATTTAAAAGCCACTCGATGTATCTCGATGAGGACTATTGTTTGTCAATTTTGTGCAATGATCGGCCAAGCCCTTTCTTTATAAATCGAAGAAACGTGAAAAATTTTTCGTCTATGTTTTAGCCCGCAATTCTGAATCGATTTTGAAAATTCAAAAACCGTTCGAAAGATATTGGTTGGGAATCGTGCTGATTAGTTTTTGGTAGAGATCGGCCGGGCCGTTTTCTTGTAATGAAGTTTTCAAAAAAAAAATTTCGACGATTTTTGTTTATTTTTTTGACGTTAGATACCATAGTCTTCTAGATCATACTAAAATATTACGGCCCTACGACAACTGGTTTAGCTTTAAAAATTCGTCAAAGTTTGCAAAAATTAGTTTGGTCTTTTTGGCATTTGTCAAAATTAGAACTTTTATCGACGTTTGCTTAAAAACGTCTGAACCGATTTCAGATATTTAAAAAGCATTTGATGTACCTCGATAAGGATTATCGCTTCTCAGTTTTGTGCGACGATCGGCCTAGCCGTTTCTTTGTAATTTGAAAAAAAGTGTTAAACCTTTCGTCTACATTTAAGCTCATACTACCGAACTGATTTTAAAAAATCAAAAACTGTTCGAAAGATATTAGTTGGGAATGATACTGATCAGTTTTAGGTGAAAATCTACCGAGCCGTTTTCTTGTAATTAACTGTTGAAAAAAAAATTAAGCCGATTTTTATGGAACTTTTTTTGGCGATATATATCATGGTCTTATAGAACTTACTGAATTATTACGGCCTTACGACAAGTAGTTTAATTTCAAAAATTCATCAAAGTTTGAGAAAATGAGTAGTTGTTTTGACGTTTGTTAAAAATAAAATTAGATGATTTAGTTGATATAACAATAGTGTACTTGGTCTTGAACATAGTAAACCATTAAAGTCCTACGGAAACTGGTACAATTATAATTATTGATTAATTAAAATTATTGATTTTCGAAAATTTGCTTTTATAAAATACTCCGAGTTAACGTGTTCGTTCGTTCGTTTGCAATGATGTGTAATAAATCCACTCGCAATACTTATAATCACTCATAAATCAATTTATTTTTTATTGATTAAGTCAATTATTTAAACATATCGGTAAGTTCATGTAACTTGCCTCAAGGCTAACTACCAATACCAACTAGTTAAGCTTTTTTTTGACGATATATATATATATCTTATAGAACTCTCTTTTCTCAACCCTTTCCACTCGCTAATTCCCAGATTTACATGAATTTTGCTGCCGAAGCGGCGGCATCCGAGTGGAAGGGGTTAAAGTATTACGGCCTTACAAGTCGTTAAATTTCAAAAATTCAACAAAGTTCGGAAAAATGAGCAGCATTATTTTGAAGTTGGTCAAAATTAGACTTTTCATCAACGTATTCTCAGAAACGGTCGAGTTTATTTCAAAAATTCAAAAGTTACAATTAGTTTTTTAATACGATAGACTGCGTCATTCATTTAGAATCCGCAGAAAAGTTCCAAATTTTTAGACAAAGATCGGCCTGCCTGTTTCTTCGTAATTGTTAAAAAATGAATTTTATCGATGATTAATGAATCTTTTATCGCATGGCGATAGAATACCTGGTAGACAAAATATTATAGTTCTAAGAAAAATATTTCAATTATAAGAATTAATTAAATTTATTATTAGGCTGATTATTAAACCTCAAACCTCATAAACCTCAAACCTAATTATTAATTTTTGTGCCAAAAACCGTAAGACTATACTAGAATCGTAGAATCCTAAATAAAATTTTATTATAATTTTATTTGATTGATTAAAATTACTAAATCAGTTGTTGGTCGAATCGTTTTCAAATAAAACATATTTAATATGAACCTCTGATTACATATTACATGAATCAAAAATACACAAATAATCTTAGATAGTATTTGAAATAAATACAGGATCAACTAGATCTGATAAGATTTTTCATTCATTTGATAAGATTTACACAGGTGTACATTAAAAGTACTTTTCTACATAGTTCTATATGTGTTTATCTGATTACAGAAAGAATCATAACATATTATTTTTTTACAGAAGGTGCAACTATTGAAGCCAAAGTCAAACATGATACTCCAACAGAAGACATTTTGAGGAATATGGCATTTGAGAAAGTTAGAAAAAAAATTGAGGTAATAGAAGTAAAGAAACAATTAATGGAAATATTTTTTTACTATTAATTATAATCATGTAAAACTTCGAGTGAGTGAGTGACAACTTTAGAGTGGCTCAAATTAGTAGGGTACATTACAAACTTTTTTCCATCATCCATATCATTTCAAAAAAAAAGTGAAACTAGTGGGGTGTATGGCATCGTGCTTTAAGACAAATTGCTGGAACTTCCCGTACCGTAACGAAATGTTCGAGGAATTTTGAATGTTTTCAAATAGATTATTATCAATATTGTAACATTGTCTAATATTGATAAGAATTATATAAACTGTATTGCAAAGTTAAAATTATTTGTTTAAAGTATATCAGAACTTTAGTCAGAATTAAAAATAAAATCTGAATTATTTTCGATATACAAAAAAAAAATGATACAATTTTTTTTCCCCAAAATCAATTATTTTGTTAAAACAAGCTGAAAGTTCTTTGAATCATTTAAATTAGACGCTTAGTTCTCTCAAAAACTGCCATTTTTTGTTCATTTAGCTCTGTATCTTCGAAATGGCTGGGCCTGCCAATGCCAAAAACTAATCACCTCTTCTCCCAATCATTACAAATTGAATGTTTTTTAGATCATTCAAATCCGATGCTCCGTTCACTCAAAAACTCGATTTCTATTTTCTGCACTCTTTGCTCTGTATCTCAGAAACGGCTGGACCTGCCTTTGCCAAAAACTAATCAGCTCTTTTCCCTGTCGATAGGAATCGAATGTTTTTTGAACCATTGAAATCGGTTGATCCGTGCGCCCGAAAACGTGACTGGAAATTTGTATCCATACATACATACACACACACACATCCATTTTTTCTGAGGTATGCCAAAATGTTCAAAAACCTTCAAAACGTCGAGAAATGTAAAAATTTTCAATTTCGATTTTCAGCCTATTACAATAACTTACCCTACGGAAAGTTAATAAACCGTGAAAGTGAATATTGAAGCAGCAAAGTTTTTAATAGTTTTTGCTTCTATTTTAACTAAGGGGCCGTTCAAGTATTACGTAAGCACTATAGGGGGCCGGGGGGTTGCTAAATTGCTTATTAACTTCCCGTAAGGTAAGTTATTGTAATGGGCCGAAAATCGGAATTGAAAATTTTTACATTTCTCGACGTTTTGAAGGTTTCTGAACGTTTTGGCATACCTCAGAAAAATGGATGTGTGTGTGTGTGTGTGTGTGTGTGTATGTATGTATGGATACAAATTTCCAGTCACGTTTTAGGGCGCACGGATCAACCGATTTGAATGGTTCAAAAAACATTCGATTCCTATTGATAGGAAAAAGAGCTGATTAGTTTTTCGCAAAGGCAGGTCCAGCCGTTTCGGAGATACGGAGCAAAGAGTGCAGAAAATAGAAATCGAATTTTTGAGAGAACGGAGTATCCGATTTGAATGATCTAAAAAACATTCAATTAGTAATGATTGGGAGAAGTGTTTATTAGTTTTTGGCAAAGGCAGGCCCAGCCATTTTGAAGATACGGAGCTAAATATGTGAAAAATGGCAGTTTTTGAGAGAACTAAGCGTCCGATTTAAATGATTCAAAGAACTTTCTGCTTGTCTTAACAAAATAATCGATTTTGGAAAAAAAAATTTTGTCCCATTTTTTATTTTATTTTTTTTTTACTTTTTTTTTTAGTTTTTTGTATATCGAAAATATTTCAGATTTTATTTTTAATTCTGACTATAGTTCTAATATACTTTACAAATAATTTCAACTCTGCAATTCAGTTTATATAATTCTTATAAATATTAGACAATGTTACAATATTTATAATAATCTATTTGAAAACATTCAGTATTCCACGAACATTTCGTTACGGTACGGAAAGTTCCAGCAATTTGCCTTAAGGCACGATGCCATAATTGCCGCAAGACAGAATACCACTTACAGCTAGTTTTGGGTTGACATGGGGGCAGGGAATTCTGGATGATGATTACGTCATAGGTAGTATTTTTATTTTTGTACATTAATTGCAAAATGTTTACGTAAGCAAGTGGGTAGGGGGTAAAAGCTTTGCTTACTTTTGCTGACAAGGGGGATGGGGGGGGCCGTAAATAATTGTAATAATCTGCTTACGTAATACTTGAACGGTCCCTAACATAAAATATAAGAAATTTTGAATAGACATAGATTTGATAGTTTATAAACTTATTGAAAATTTTGAAGCCTCGAAACTAACTTCCAAGCGATGATTTCATTGGCATATATATACATATATATATACTAGTTGATCCGGCAGACGTTGTCCTGTAGCCATGTCTATAACTCAAAATACTTTTATCATTATTATATTTTTTTTAGAACTATTCCGAGATTACGACGCAATGTAACTTTAAAAATGCTTTCTGCATTTCTTTATTTATTTAACCATTATAATTTACTATGTTAAGTACGTTGACGTACATTTAATAATTTCAATAATTATTCAACTTTCACTTTTTTAATGTATCTTGTTTATTATTATTTATAAAATTTCTTTAATATCTTTAATATCTTTTTTTAATAACAAACACATGAACAACGCACACTGATAGCCATAGATAAGTAAACATAGCTGATAGATACTCTTCTTTTATCTATGGCTGATAGCATAGATAAATCAGCATATGGCTGATAGTCTCCCGTAGTTCATATTTAGTCTGGCGCTGCAGTCACCCACATAGCGAATAACAAAACGAAGTGTCTCATCTTTTTAAGAAAGTACGCTATACTCCAAATGTCAAACAAATTTAATTTAAGTTAAATTCAGTTATTATAGTATTAAAAAGGATTGTTGGTTAAACTAGATTATTATTTAGCATACAATTATTTCGGAATTATTTCAATTATTTCGTAAACGAGTATTAGCAGTACAAAATATTTAAAAATGTCAGAAGAAACAATTATGCCTATGAATAATCAGAAAATTAAAATTGAACCACAAGATTATTCAGAAGAAGACATTAATCGCGAAACTAAGGATGATATTGATGTTTTTGATGATATTGTTAAATTTGAATCGTGTACTGAGGATGATGAAACCTGTTTAGAAAGATTTATGAACTCCGAGGTTACTATCGAAGAAGAAGTCAAACAGGAGTTCGTCGAGACACCAGTTTATGAATGTGACATTTGTAGCAAATTATTTGCAGAATCTGATCAATTGAAAGAGCATATGGTCGATCACAAGCCTAGTAATAGCAGAGAAAGCCCTTTCAAATGCGAAATTTGTCATAAAACTTTCAAACAAAAAGGTTATCTGAAAACTCACATGCTTTTGCATAGTGGAGAACGCCCCTATGAATGCAGTATATGCAAAAAGACATGCACACAATCAAGTAATCTGAAAAAACACATGCTGATGCACAAAGGAATACGCCCCCATAAATGCGACATTTGTAATAAGACATTCACACAATCAAGTAATCTGAAAAAACATATGCTTTTGCATAGTGGAGAACGCCCCCATGAATGCAGTATATGCAATAAGACATTCACACAATCAAGTAGTTTGAAAACACACATGCTGATTCACAATGGAATACGCCCCCATCAATGCAATGTTTGTAATAAGACATTCACAGCATCGAGTGGTCTGAAAGTACACATGCTGATTCACAATGGAATACGTCCCCATAAATGCGACGTTTGTAATAAGACATTTACAGCATCGAGTGGTCTGAAAGTACACATGCTGATTCACAATGGAATACGTCCCCATAAATGCGACGTTTGTAATAAGACATTTACAGCATCGAGTGGTCTGAAAGTACACATGCTGATTCACAATGGAATACGGCCCTATGAATGCAATGTTTGTAATAAGACATTCACCGAATCAAGTGGTCTGAAATGTCACATGCTCGTTCACAATGTAGTACGCCCTTATGAATGCAATGTTTGTAATAAGACATTCTCTCTTTTATGTCGTCTGAAAACACACATGGTGATTCACAATGGAGTACGCCCCCATCAATGCGACGTTTGTAGTAAGAGATTCACAGAATTAGGTAATCTCAAACGCCACATTCAAATTCACAATTGAATGCATCTCCATGAATGTAATTATTTATTTGTAATAATACATTCACACAATTAAGTCTTCTGAAAAGACACATGCTTATTTATCCCAGAAAGCATCCTTATAAATGTGAAATGATTTTAATGATTTGAACAGACACATGCCACTTCATAGTCGGAAATAAAATAATAATCAATAAAATATAAACATGTTTCTTCAATAGAATTTAAATATTAGGCAAAAAAGTTACAAAATATTCTTGCATGTAATATTACATTATTGTATATGTAATCATACATTATATATATAATGTATGAATAGTAGAAAATAAACAGTAACATATCACATTATATGCATTTATTGATAAACAAGGCAATTGTTACTTATTATATCACTTTATTGGTTCTTTAGTTTAAAATTTGTTTGATGATTTTTATGATATTTGTATGACGATAGATTTTGTAGTCTGAAGCATAATAAAATATTGGGTTGTATCAGAAAAATTCATTTTTTACAGATACGGATACAGTATATATGTTTGGCGCAGATGAACAGTCTTGCGCATCGAACATACCCTATATATTTCAATTTAACAGATTATTTTTTAACTAATGCAGTCGTGTTTTGCCTTACTTTACTAAATAACAATACAAAAAAAGCTACTTAATCAAAAATTCTTTAAAAGTTTTATTGCGTCAAAAATGTTTTACAGCAAACACTTTTTATGTGGCTACTGAATTGCAATTTTGGAAATGGCACTCATAAAACTATTTGATTCAAATGAAAAAAAAAAAACGACCCTTAACAGTACACATTTTATATGCTTATTTTGAGCACTATAAAACCCCATAAATAATTATATTAAAATATATATA